TGGGGTATGGTTTTGAGGGATGTTGTCACAACTATTGTTATAACTAAAAATCTGATGTTTGATATGGTTTTTAGGCCACCTCCTGCTTACATTGATCAGGTTTCCTGTGCTACTGGTTGGAATTTAGTTTTTGTTCTATCTGTTTTGATGGCAGGTTTTTTTGCTATGGATTTTTGTTGGTACTATGCTTGGCTGCTCCTCTCCTTTTGTTATTTATTTAGTGATTGTTTAGTATTCCTCGGCTTCACAATGAAAATTCTATTACCTCCTACATCAGGTGTTAGAGTTTACAGGCTTTGTTTTGTCTCGAGGGCCCTCTTTGCTTTGGGTCCAACAGATTTTGGCTTCAGCTCTCGGTTTACATGGAGCTACTTTTGGTTTTGGATTTTTTTTTTTTGGATCAATTGATTGGGTATACATGTTTATGTTTTGGGTATACGCCATTGTTTTGTGTTATGTTTTCTGTTTTGGCCTTTTCTTTTGTGGGTGATTTTGTGTGGAGCTGCATTGCGGTTGAGGACCCCCCTATGAGTGAGTATTGTATCTTTTTTTGGTTGGTTAATTATAGGGAATCCTCTCCCTACCCAAAATTTGTAATCACCTTTTTTGATTAACACGTAGGGAGCCAAATAATACTCATTTCCTTATATATACCGTGAATATCAACCAACAGGTCGGGGTACGCGACACTATATATATATATATATATATATATATATAACGAGGTGAGTACGAATGAAAAAAACTTTGTTTGTGTTTGGCTTGACTGTTTTACAAATGAATCACATATAAGCTACTTTATAAGCCGAACAAAAGTTGTTAGTGAACAACGAGCTGTTTTGACATTCCTAACCTTAACTAAGTATATGATTTTTATCATGATGAGAGCACTTTTGGTCTTGGGGTTTGTGCTTCTATGGTTTGGGGAAATCTTTGGTGCTTTTGGAGTTTCTTCCTTAGGTTTGGTCGAAAGAGTATGTTTTTCTTGTTTCTTCTTCTCTTTTCATATTTTTATGAGAGATTTATGATTTTGTAAGAAGAGATTGACTGCATATTTGTGAGACAACCATGAATATTTGTATTGATTGAAGTGGACCACAATGTATTGCAAGAACTAATTGGCTCTGAAATGGATTTTTTGTACTTCTTGTGTTGTATTTTTTTTAATTCCCGCAATAACAACACTAATGTTTTTCTTCCTCATGCATTGTAGCTAATCTTGTTTCCTACTCTTGTGATGAAAGTTTTGTGATTTTCTCTTGTGATTTTAATTCTATGGATTTTTGGTTCCCTCGACGCTCTATTTATGCATGAATTTCAAATGTTGATGTGTTAACTTTTGAGATTTCATTTACTCCTGATCTAGTATGTTATGATGTTAAAATATTTCATGTCCTATGACTTCTGCTCATCGCATAATGAACGAATAGGTTAACCACAAAACTTGGTAGACTAAGCATATTCTAGTTAGGTTTTTACAATCTGATAAGGAATGGGAAGAATCATGGGAAACACTATAGGGTTAATAAAAACTTAACTTTGTTGCTTTGATTCTTTTTTTGTCCTAGGCATAAGTTTAAGAAAAAACTTTTATCCATGGTTGTCAACAATAACATTGGTTCCATAGAAAAACTTCAAAAAATCACATGACCGGTGTCATTAGAGTATGAACATTGCACATCTGAAAAACTCAACGCAATTTTATACCATTTATGTTTACTATATTTTTAAGACCGTTAGACTTGTCTCTTGAATTTGATCACTTCAATTTGGACTTAACGATTCAATAAACTAGAACTTTGCTTGTTAGAAAATTTTGGCACTATCCTCATGAGATCAATGTGTCAACTTATTTCTATGTATTACTTGATCAACATGTATACTTGTGGGATTGATTGACATGGTTTCGGTTATCAAAAAGTGGCTAGCATACAGAAGTAAGATGTGATTTATATTTTGGCTACTATATCTAAGAAGATAAATAAATTAGGATTAAATTCAATGCAAAGATCACTCATGACTAAAGAAAATGGGTATAAACAACTAGGAGACACTAGTATTGTAACTTTGGAGTCAATGAATGACATTAATAATAGACCCGAAAACCCCTATATATTACCTATAATCTTGGTTGGAAAAATCATCTAAAGTTTAAATGACATAATAACCATAATATAAGAAATCATAAGTGGGATAACAACCAACTAAACTCCTTAGGCAACTGAAAAAATCAAGAAATAATTTTGCTTAGACCCACTTACAAACCTAAATTCACTTTTAATTTAAAATTTAAAGAGAAGAAACTTTCTTTAGAATAATTAATGTTATAAATAAAAATCTAGTTATGGATTCAAACTATAGAAATGAAAAATATTGAAAATTAATTGGGACAATAAGCTAATTCACTAAGTACTAGACCTTGAGGGACTTTACCAAATAGCAGTGAGGTGAATCTAGAAGAAAAAGGAAAAGATCAATATAAGTCCATAAAGCTTAAGAGTGAAAGGGAGATAGAAGAGAAGACAAGGGAAGAGACTATGTTAAGCCAAACTTAATGAGAAACCTTTGATTATCTAAGGAAAAGAAGCATCAATTCCCAAGAGAAAGGTTGAGAGAACACTATCACCTTTCTCTTACTGTAAAAACATAAGTTTGACCAACAGTTCTTTAGGTGTCTATAAGTGTTAAAAAAACTGATAATTAACATCACATTGATAAACTTTAAAATAAATGTCAAGTTATGCAAAATTTATTATAGATATTTTAAATAAGAAATTCAAACTACTTGATTATGAGATTATAGCCTTAAATAAGGAGTTTATTGTTATCCCACGGAAAAATTTTAATAAAAACTTAAGGTACCGGGTTGTTTTATTATTCTTTGCACTATAGGAGCAAAGTTCGTTGAGAAATTATTGTGTTACCTAGGTTTTAGCATAAATATTATGGAATTTTCCATCTTTAGGAGATTAGGATTACGAGCGATTCAACTTACTACTATGACCCTTTAGTTAGTTGATCATTCATTGATTTATCCTAGTCGGGCTTGTCTATAACTGCTTTAAGGGGATGATCGGTGATAATTCAAATTGGTTGTGCTTGAAAATAAGGATGGAGCATATATGTAGAAATAAGAAGAGAAAATTTTAGTTTTTTTAATTATTGGGTTCATGAGTTCTGACCCCATGAGGACCCAGCTGACATAGTAAAATGGGAACTGCTTCCCTTACTCTTCATGGATTAGGATAGAATTAATCTCTTTGGTTCTAACTCCCAAGAAGAGTGATTGTTCTTCGTTCAATCTTTGACTTTGGAGGAGAGGTGGGGAGGTCGGAGAACGTTTTTAACTATCAAAAGGCTAATTCACATTTGTTTGACCACATGAAGCTTTTGGCTCATTTTATAGTCTTGAAGAAGGTGATGTATTTGTCACCTAATTTGGAAATGAATTGATTAAGTCCAGTGATTTAGACAACCTGTCACTGTAGCTCCTTGGTGCTACGAGCGGACTTCATTTCTACAAAAGCTTAAAATTTCTCATGATTAGCTTTTATTCCTTCAGCCAGAAGGTGCCCTATGAATTTTCTCATATGGGCGTCGAACATGCACCTAAGAGAATTGAGCTTCATGTTATATTTTCTTAAGTGTTCAAATGTTTCTTATATATCTTTTATGTGTTATTGTTTTATTTTTTTACTAATACATCATCCACATAGACTTCAATATTTTTTCATTTTTATTAAGAAAAAAATACATCCATAAGGCATTGGTAGGCTGCCCCTCCATTTTTGATCCCAATGGAATTGCACATAGCAATAAACACCTTCTATTATGATGAATGTTATCTTCTCTATGTTGGTTGGATGCATCTGTATTTGGCAATACCCTAAAAGGCGTATAAGAATTTCATGATCTAGTGCTCAACGACCAAATCTAAGGGTGCATTGATTCCCAATAAAAGGTAGCTATCCTTTGGCCATGTGGAATTTTGACTAGTGAAGTCAACACAAATCTATCACTTGCTCTTTTATTTTTGGACCATGAATATGTTGGCTATCCAGTTAAGGCACTGCTCCTCATATATGTAGGTTGCTTATTGCAACTTCTATACTTTCTCTCATATTGCATTCGCTAAAGTGATTATTGTTAATCTCACCTTTTCTTTTGTTGATTGAGATGTTGGAAAGACATTTAGTCAGCGACAAATGATCTCGATACACTTGTTATTTCTACAATCGACCAAGTGAATATGTTTGAATGTTTATGGAGCACATTGACTAACTCATTCTTCATCCTACATCATAAGCCAAAATCAATCAAAAAAATTTACCTATCTCTTCCATTAAGGGGCAAAATCCTCGATGGTTCCTTTGTTCTAAAGGTCATTCCCTCTTTGGATGTTGAGTTTGAGGTCATCCTAGCGTATAGTGTTGGTTGTGCATAAGTAGCACGCACGTGACTGCTCCCATTCTCCTTGTATTTTTTTAATGTTAATATTTATTTTTTTATCAACCAATAAAAGAAAAATATTACCTTCAAATATTGTTGACCAAATTTCTTTCAATCTATATTTTTGAAAAATTAACAAGTATAAAAAATATTTTTAATTTACTATAAAATTTTCATCAATCTAAAATTTCTCAAAAAAACTAATAAATTTATACAGGATTATAAAATTTTATCAGAACAAAATCAAATATTTTTAAATTTTAAAATTTTAAATTTTAAAATAATAATATATAGTTTTTAAAATTATACTATGATATTAATTTTATTTTTAAATTAAATTACTTCTTATGCATATTAGCTCGCTTTTGCTCCATTCATATCACCCATCGTATCTAGCATTTTTCACATTTTTGAAACATAATGGAAAAATATTCCCAAAAAATAAAAAAATAAAAAAACATTAAATACACCACAACAACGCATTCAAAGATCAATTAACGTAACTCCCAACAACTTTTCTTTTTTTTAAAAAAAAAAATTTTTTAGCAAAAAATAAGATAGCACACAATCGAAAATATATTTATACATAGCACAAAAGTGCAGAATAACATATTAAACAGAGGCCAAATAGATGCAGTTATGCACAGTTAGGCTCATAAAATAAATCTTCGTCCCATGGATATTTCCTACCTGTAGTCTGTTTGGTGCTTTCCCCGTCTTCTTTTCAATTAACACGGCCACACCAAAAGCCATGGCAATCTGATGCGAATATATCGTAGAGAAATTCAAATAACTCTAACTTCGGTTTTGGCGGCCATGTTTCTGGACAATGGGATAATGGATGAACTTTCCTTTCTGGGAAGGGGTGATGCGTCGGCCTAAAGAAGAGGCTCTGAGATCAGGTCTTCACAAGACTTTGCCTTGGCTTCTTCGCTCTCAGCGTAACGAGCCCAGGTGACCAGATATAAGCCGGCGATGATGAGAAATCCCCCAACAATACTGTGAATGTAAGATAAAGAGCCTTTTAAAGCTCAACCAAGCAGAATTCAGGCAGTTTGGCATCTTTGAATGGAAAAATTTTAACTAAAATACCTCCCAAGGAAGATGGAGCTGCCAATAAATATTGCTGACAAAAAAGCAGACATGGCTGGTTGAAGAGGCATGAACAGTGCGACCAATGCTGGTCCAATAATTGTATTGGACCATGTTATGAGCCCGTAGTTGAGAGCTGATGAAAATACTCCCTGAAAATGCCGTGGAATAAGGAAGTGTTTTGATAAATATTCAAATTATTCGCATTGGAATTGTTAAAATTGGTACTATTTAAATGGGGGACATTTTAGTCCCCGAGATTATAGAAGTGTTAAATTAGTCCAGAACTCTTTAATTTGGAGATAAAATAGTCTCTACGGATAACTACTAGAGCCCCAATTTAATAAATGGGGACTAATTTGACACTTCTATGAATTCTGGGACTAAAAATACTCCATGTAAATAGTCAAGGGACTATTTTGGCACCTTGCTCAAATTGATAATGATGAATTTTGGATGACTGCTATTAACTGATTCAAGGATTTATTTCATAGTCGAGGGAAGAATAAGTTCGTCAGGCGCTTCTAATCAATCTCTTGTTACTAACTATAACATGATTTTGGCATGCTTTTGACAGTCAGTTTTTACTTGAACAGGTACAGATGTGGGGCATTACTGTCAATTATAACGGCTATTATGCAATAATTAAATGTTGGGAACAGATAAAGTTGTTGAGTTAAATTGGGTGAGACCAAAATGAGCTTTTTTAAATATAATTTTTCAACAATCAAATCCTAGATCTATACTTTGGAGGAGCCATACCACTAAGTGGATTAAATAAGAAATTTATTATGAATGCTTAATAAAACTATAACAAAAAGAGGAATTAAATTATAGAAATTGTGGGAGTAATTTTTTTTTATTAGAGAGTATTTAATTTTTATTTTGATGAAAAATTGATTTTGATTTTGACATATAGAACGAAGCGCAAAAGATGTACCAACAAAGATTTGTTGGAAATGATGTGAAAGGTAGTAAGAACTGAAGGAACAAATCAAAGGTAGCATAGCAAACAGTAATGCAGAAAAGGTGTAAACCATATTAATCCCTAATGCACATCAACAAGAATTTAAAGTGGAGAAAAATTTATACATCCTTCACCAAATAATTGAGATAAGGCAAATCATTCAAGGGGTTTAACTCAGGAATACTAGACTCTGAGTCTTCAAAAAATTAATGCAGCACAGTGAAAATGGATTAGTTGAATGCTTCATTATACTTCGATAAAATAGACATAATAATTCATTTATCTTTGCATCCAAAAAAAAAAAAAACACAATCATCGGGAATAGTAAAAATTGTTATATCTATTGCTTAAAACAAAACAATAATAACAAAATCTAACCAAATTTTTGACAAATTTCAAAATCTTCAAAAATCGAAGCCAACTAGTTTGAATTCATACTCTAGCTTGTTAATGAAGGATTGGGTTTGATTTTTTAAGTGCTAACATGTAGAATAAATTAAAATAAACATGTTTTGTGCCTCTTCTTAATCAACTATAAAAATTAATTAGGCTTTACGACTATCAAAACTCGTTGTTCGCGAACAGCTCGTGTTCAGCTCGCTAAGAAGCTCGTGTTCAGCTTGCTCGCTAAGTTAACGAGCCGAACACGAACAACACAAAAAAAGATTTGTTCGTTCGTGTTCGGCTCGTTTTTGACTCGAAATACTAATAATCAATTATATTATATATATATCTTTGATGATTAGTATTTTTAAAAAACTTAATAAACTTAATTGACTACAAGGAACAAGGATATAAAGATTTATAATCACTTATAAGTATTAATTAAGAAAATAGAATAAAAATTATTAAATTAGATTCAAATGATGTTTTAATATAAGCAATAGTTTTTAAATCTTGCCCCAATCCTTAACATCTTATGGCTACCTAATTAGGGTTGTCAAAACAACTCTTTTTTCGTGAACGGCTCGTGTTCGACTCGCTAAGCAAACGAGCCGAACACAAACACACTTTT